AAGACGCGATACCTAGCACTTCAGCAGATACTAGCGATTTGATTATAAGATCGTCGCATAACATTCTTCGTGGGAAAGATAAACACGAATGGTCATCACGACAGCCAAGGTCACAAAGCAGAAGACCTTCAAGGAACATAGTTCATATAAGACCTGGACCTGTACGTTCTTGCAAAAATCTTTTAGATCCACTTCAATGCTTTTCATGTTTCATTACTGATAATATGATTAATTTAATTGTAACCCACACCAATGCAGAGATAGCAATAAAATCTTAAAAATATAAAACAGTGGAATCCACTCAGAGACCAACCGATGCTAATGAAATAATAAATGAATAAACCAAATAAATATGGTATAAAAATTGTGATGCTTTTAGATAATTCTACAAAGTATATGGTAGATGCAGAGCCTTATCTAGGTTTTTTTACTAACACAGATAGAGTACCACTTGGTGAATATTTTGTAAAGTAATTGACACGTACTGTTCATGGTACGAATAGAAATATCATAATGGACAATTGGTTCACTTTGGTGCCACTAGCCAAAAGTTTAATGAAAGAACCATATAAGCTCACATTGGTTGAAACTCTACGAGCTAACAAACGGGAGATACCGGTAGAATTTCAAAATGAACGCACTAGAAGAACTGGAACAGCTACGTTCTGTTATGATAACGAACTCACACTACTTTCCTACAAAGCAAAGCCCCAAAAAGTTGTATTTCTTCTATCAACATGTCACGAAGAGGGAACCATCAATGAGCAGACTAAAAAGCACACAATGGTGAAATTTTACAATGAAACCAAAGGAGGGGTAGATACTTTAGACCAAATGTGTTCCATTGCCTCTTGCAGTCGAAAAACACAACGTTGGCCGCTGTGCAACTTTTAGCTCTGCATCACAAGCTGATCGAACCACACATGCAAAAAAGATTGCTCATACCAACTCTACAGACTAGTCTGTGGGACTCAATTACACAAATTTTAAAGACGGCAGGAAGTAGTAATGAGAGTATTATAAATGAGACTGAGCAAAGTAATGCAGCTGATGTCCCCCCACAGCAAAATAAAAGGAAAATATGTGCCATATGTCCCTCCAAAAAGCGAAGGATGACTAAAAGTAAGTGCACTAAGTGCAATAAATCGTTGTGTGGGGAACACAAACTTGATGTGCGTCACGAATGTATTAGTTTCTAAAGCAACACTAAATTGTTATTTTTAATTCATTTTTCAGATATTATGCTTGGTTTTTATAGTTTATTTTGAAGATTTTAAGGCTATATATAATATGTACGATTTTTTAAAAATGTATGTAAATGTTGATTATGCATGTAAACTATGATCTCATTATGATGACTGTTTGGATGAAAAAATATGTTTTAGTATATATCATAAGCTCTTAATATGTAGGTTAATACTTCTTATTTAAAATAAAAACATAAATATCAATATGTTTTTCAATTAAACCCCTAAAATCCCCTCCATTATACAGCGTAGTCAAAACGACGAAGGTTAGTATTAAACGTCAAAAAATAAGGTTAGTAATCTAGGGTTAATTTACATAGAAAATGCATATTCACCATGCTAAAAAATAATTAACATTTAATTAAAAAATATATATATTGCTTATTTCTAGAAACGACCAATTGCAATCAAAAGGGGAGAAAAAATTAGTCAATATGTATTTTTGCATTCTGAAATAAATACATACATAGTCAATGCGCTAACTGTCCACAAATAACAGAGTATCATTTTCATATGGAATATAGCATTGTTAAAAAATAATACATACCGGAAGGATGAATAATAAAAATATTAAATTAATTTTTCTCATAAACCATTCAATAAATACCACTTATTCTGTTATACATTTATCATATTTTCGAGCACAATCATCAATCTAATCATTGTGTGACTCACATTTATGATGTTGGTAGAAAAAATTTTCTATACATAATGACTTTTTTACACCAGATACAACGGATAATCACAATATGTTTATATTCTGGAACATCACAGTGTACATTACAGTGATCTCCACATGCAAAATTTTGTGGGGTTTTTGAATTCATCTGTTTGCATGTCTAAGCAACCACTTTGAAATCGAGAATATTTGAAAAATCAATGTATCTAGAAGATGACAGTTGATCATGAGTAAGTGACTGTAACTTGATAATGGTATTTCTTAAGTATAAATTTAAATCATGACTCAGTAATACTTCACTATCAGAAAAGTGTTTCACAAAATTGTTCCATATTCTAAATCCAAAGACATTACAAGGTTGAATATTTTCACTATTTACTTGAGGTATAATCATTACTTCGATATCCTTGTTAGAGGGTTTGACAGTATCTATAGCTTCAGGACAATGTCCAGTCCATGAATCGATTAAAAATAAACTTTTAGAAGCAACTTTTGAAAAAATATATGTTCCAGTCAAGTCTTAGAGTAGTCTAAAGATGAAAAATATTAGCAGAGTGAATGATAATAATTAAAAATTCATGTTCATAGAGTATTATTACATTTTATTTACCGAAAGTAAGTAATTCAGCCGTGCAAGTTTTACGGAAAAGCATGAATTTATGGATTATTTTAAGAGTTATTCTATTTCCGGTGGAAGTAATATTAAATGAATGGTGACTTTAAAATGAATTATTTTGCTTAAATTATCGGAATGGTACCTATATCTTTTTCTTAATCAATGCAAAATCAATTACTCTACGAAACAGTTCAAATTTAGCCAACCATCTAAAAATTCATAAATGTTATAGACATCCTAAAATAAAACGAAAAAAACAGCTGTTAAAAACTTTGAGCTGGAAGCTTCAGTAACTGGTACTATGTAGAATATAACCCAAGTTCTATTACTTTTGAAGGAACTTCAGCAATGTCGTCTTTGTATATATTTCTGACAAAAGACGTAAGCCGAGTAATTTTTCGAGCAAAAATTCGATTGCACTTTTATTTCTAGTTTAACGTTGAATCAATTATTAATTCTTTCATTGATTATTAAAAAGTATTTACTGACATTACCTTAAGTGGTAATCTCACGATTATCAGACATTGGTGTTCAGTTGACTATTGATCAAGTTGACCAATGTAAAATATTAAAAAATTATATAACAGACGATCTCTATAGTAAAACGGAATATTACAGTCTTCATTACTTTATTTCTGTAATTCTACCTATAGAAAAGCTGATGAAATTTTAATTAATTTTCATGTTTGTTTTAAACATGTACGCTGACGTGTACAGAAAATGGAGAATTGTTTGGAATTAATATGTTTTCGTAGATTGCAAAATTTATTGTAATACAATTTTATATCTAGTGTATTTTTTTTATTTAACAAAGTGAAGTAAAATTCTATTTCATTAAATATGTACGACAACTATCACAGATTAATCTCATTAAGAACTAGAAACAAGTAGTAATGATGTGTCATGATCATAATAATAATTTATTTAGATGTTTAGAAATTCAACACTTGAAGTGTTAGCAATGATAAACATCATAAATGAGCTGAGGCAATTTTGTAGTCGACTTTTAAAAGCTTTTTGTTTAAAGAATCCACAATGAACCGAGTGAATTACCGTTAGGAATAATGAGAATTTTCCATACTTTTTCATACAGCTAATTAATGCCATTAAAAAATTAATTGAAAAACAAAATTGATACGAATATAATGCGTATTTGGAAATGCATAAAATCAAATATCGATTATAGATTACGGTTAAGCGACTTTCTGTGATTGGGAGCACGGTACGCTTCTTAGAGATGCACTGCATTTCTAATGAGATTATTCATTGGAAAAGTTACATTAATATCAAATAACGTTAACAATTATGTCCTTAAATACAAAAAGACGAATCTTCACGTTAGTATCGTAGAATCGTGTTTGTGTTCCATTAAAGAATATTTAGAAGTTATTGAAGAGAATTTATAACCTCAAATGTAATATACATGAACAATCCAAGTTAAGTATAAGTTTATTTTTTACTCTCTATTGTCTTCATTCCTTTGATAGAGTAATGCATCGTATAGAATTGAGAAAAATCATAGTTTTTTCAAAACTTCAATGATGATTTAAAAACTGTAAAAAAGTTCAAATACTAATTTCCTTTAGTTGTCAAATAGTCAGCTCCATCAGAAAATACATGAATAAAAAGTATTGAGGAAACATTTTTTTGCCTGTATACTGATAAAAAATTATTTAATTCCGTTTTATTTTTGTCTTGGAAATACTTTTATATTTATGTTATTGATATAATCTTAATCTGCATCAGGCGCAAAGAATATTTATTAGAAATATAGTAAAAAAATATAGTCGCTATGATACTGTAAGTCAAGAGAGGAAAATGTCTTTCAACAATCTCAGAATGTGTCTTTTCACGATTAGGCATGATTAGTATAGAATAACAGAAGTGGTTAGTGGCGAGTTCAATTTATGGTTACAAGATTCTGTACTTCATTTAATGCTGCATATTATACTTGTAATTGACCACATATATGAAACATCATTGCATCCGATAATAGTTGAACGATACATTGAAATTTTTCTGTAAAAACTCATGAAACTAAAAACTGGTCTTCGGAGAAAGTAAAATATTTTATCTTCTTAATTAAGGTCGAATAAATCTGAAGGTAATTCTACAAAATCCCTCCAAGCCATAATTTCGCTGATTTTCCTACTTTAATTTCTTGTGAAAAACTTTTTATATATATATTGAATACATATGATTTAATATGTACTATGTATAAAACATAGAAGGTCATAATAATATATGGCTAGTTTTCCACATATGATCGTGAATAAACTTTTTTCAGAGCTTACAAATTACTGTTAAAAAATTACTGAATCATTTTATAATATTATTTGTTTCACAAGGTGCAGAACTCTAGGAGTATGAAACGTATCATGCAAAAATCTTGATGATGCTACATACTTCAACTCTACATAGTCTGATCTGGTAAATATCGAAATTTTTTGCAACTTACCAGGTTCAGCAAAGGTGATTATTTCCGATGTTCTTGCATAAAAATCATCTATTTCAATTTCTGTACTTCGATGACGACCGTCATTTTCAATTTTTTCAAGACTTTCAGTTGACATAATTTTTTGAGTCATTAATTCTTCGGATTCCCTATTTTCATAGGAATATTTATAACTTGTGAAAAAAAAATCACTGATGCCATCTTTGCGATGATCTTTTTCAAAATAGGTATTACGTTCACCCAAATTTTCATTCGGATGAGCTTCAGCTCGATACAGTGTTTCCAAAGCAAGATGTCGAGGTACTTGAGTCATAGTCTTATTTACATCTGGACGGTTTCTCAGTCCAAGTTTCGTCAGAATTTGGTGCTTAATTGCTTCTAATCGTAAATCATCAGGACTCGGGCTAATTTCTTTTCGTAGAATATTATGAATGTGTTGATGGGGACATCCAGGACAAATACGACGAAAATGATTTTCTTGATGTCCAAGTGCAAAATGAGAAAATAACATTAACGGAGTTAAGAACAATATAATCAGTGTAGAAAAATCCAAATATAGAGTGCAAGTTTTTTTCAAAAATTTCTCGTGTTTGATGACGAGCGGATTATAACTAAACTGCTGCTCGTCGTTTGTATTCGATTCTCGTACTTTCAAGAAGTGTATTCCAAGCATTTCGACGAAGAGTCACCTTTGTGTTCTTCGTCGCCAGCTCTGCACAATTTTTTTCCTATTGTCAATACGTTTTTTACAATGATTAGTGCTAATTGGAATAAAAAATCTTTTAAATTTTCTTTTTCCTCCTTTAATTTTATATAAAATTGTGTATCTAACTGTAAATAGAACGATGTTGAAAACACTTGGAGATGATGGCCAAGAAGAAGCATCATCGTCTAACCACCTCATTACCGTCAACTAATAAACGTGAAATTTAAATTGTTTATTTAATATTTTTGCATGCCATCGACGGCAATAGTTTTTCTACACTGATACAAATAGGTCCTCATTTAATTATTGTTTTTATTCGAAATACATGTAAAATTATTTACTAGCCACCAACCATAATTCTTGAATATTCGTTGAGGACAATGAAATTTTCTTGCACACTTTCTATGGTTTCTTGAGTCCCTACTTCTTTATCTTACAAATTACTGATGCACCATGAAGAATAAAAAAACACAAAAAATAGTTTTCATGTACGAGTCATCAACTCATATGACTATATTATAAATATTTCATGATCATTGTTGAATCAAGTAAAAATACCTCAATCCAATGATAGCTACATAAAACAAAAATCATACAACGGAAATTCACAGCAAATATTGAATTCATCACTTTGTAATATTTTAACACTTAAGATAATAAAATTTATTTCTTTCCTAATTCAACGTTACTTTGTTGATTTTTGTGACAATTAAATTTTTGTGGTATCATTGATTTTAAATAAATGACTGTTTTTTTTCTTTACAAATCTTGACCATACTTTAAAAGATGTGGTGGAAGTTAATTAATCAACACTGTCACTATTATCACTCACAGTTACATCATTTGGGAAGAGAAACAAAGTGTCAATTTAATAAATTTATTGAATGTTATTTATTTGTGTATTTATTCAATAACACAGCCGAACGAGTGTTAAATCATTTCTAGTCGAATATTGCCAGCCTATTAAGAAAATATCAATCGAAATCAACTTACAAAATAACGAATTATTAAGACACAATTGAAAACCAAAAGTGTATAGCGCGCGTGTGTCCTTCTCATAGCAAACTAGTTTCGTCTTTCTTTGAGTTATAATATTGTAGTCTAGCTTCTGTATCATAGCAATTCAAGGGTATAAGCATCGTGACAGTATAGAACAGAATGCGCATGTATTTACTAGACTTGGATTACCGAGTAATATCTTGACATTTGCGCAGAAGCATACATATCCGACTCTTATAAGGGTGGACAATCATACCAGACACATCGAAGGGTTGACTTATGAAACTCTTCAATAATGATTTCTATGTATGTATGTATGTATGTATGTATGTATGTATGTATGTATGTATATATATATATATGTATATATATATTATTAAAAAATATTAAAGGGTATTATATATACATACCCTTTAATATATATATATATGTATATACATATTCATTGTCACATGACTTTTGTTATAACGTGTATTAGTAAATATGTGTGTGTACATATTTGTATACAATTCTAAATATACATAAATTCATTTATATACATACATGTAAATAATAAGTAATCTGTCATAATAAAAATTTTATTAGAAAAAAAAGAGCACGGAAAACGAGCGAGATATTCGCAGTTGTAAACATATTGATCAGAAGACTGTTGGCTAAGTGCCACGTGGTGATTTGTATCTTAAAAGTGCTTGATTTCAATTATTTTAGGTAGACTAAATATTTATGTTTAATCACTATAGAATTTCACTCTTTCACATTATTTCGAATATTATGGTTATGGTAATTTGATTATGTAAAAAAAAAGTCAGTTCAGAAACGTCATAAGGTAAAAATAAGCTGTACTTTGTGCTATTGTAGACTTTAATCTGTTGGTTTATGAACCGATGAATCGCAACCATGGTTGAAATTTGATGGTTTTTTGATTTGATAACGGCATTTAAATGAATATCGTTGACTCGTATAAAATAAGGGAAAAAACTTTTTGAATATCTTTCAGATCAATTAGCTTTCAAGATAAAAAATCTATCAGTGCTTTTCGTCAAATGTTATAAATTTTTTTTTTTTCAACAGTAAAAGTGATGAACTATTCTAAGTCTGTATTTTTCAATAAAACCAATAAACAACCTAATAAGGGCTTTCGATGATTCTAATGAATTTTTCTGTTCCCACCGAATTGAGGTTTTTTTATTTTTAAAAATTTTTTATTTTTTTAAGACAAAATACTATCTGACAATTGTTTCTTTGGTGATTACGTGGTTTTAATGAGTTTTTTTTTTAATAAACGTCGATCATCGTAAAAATGAGTGGGCACGAAGACAGATAATTCTTGTCGATTATATACAGGACAATCGAAAGCTTCCGGTGCACATATATATACTTTCCGAAAAACGCTTTGACATGTGTAGGGAATAAACATAATATTACGATTAATTCGGAAATTCAATCGACCACAAAGAATTATTAAAAATGCATCGAAATCATTCTTTGTGAAAAAAAATTATTTTCACTGAACATCACACGTAACTATAGATAATTGGATTAACTTTTACTCAAACTATATCAACTTTTCTCGGAATTTCTAAGACCAAGAGTGATAGTATAATGACTTTTAGAATACTAGACTCTTTTAAATTAACGTCGCAAGAAGGTGTATTTATATGTTTTAATTTTTAGAGAGTGTTGACTGCAAGTCTTCATGTTTAAAAATGAAACACTACAAAATTCTAAGATAAATTATTAATACGTTAAACTCAAGAAATTGCCTTAAAACGAAATACAATATATATTGTAATTTCAAAATTCAAATGTCTGTGACTCACAATTAAACACTACGTATTCTACTGTCAAAGCCCTAAAAAATATGAAACATTGATCTGAATGTACTCAGAATAATTTGTACAAATTCCATTTAATTTCTTTTTTTTATTTTTTTCCAATAAAAATGTTTTTATTTAAATAACTGATTTCACAACTATAAAGTATGAAATCCTTTTTCTTAATTCTTTTTTTATTCATACCCAGAGGAAAGTATTAAGTACAAATTATTCTGTAAATAATGTATATTCAGGAACATTGAATAAGCAAAATGGAATTTATGTGTAAAAATAGTTACTTTTACCAACTGAAAAGTAAAATTTTAATTCTATTTAGATTAAATTACATTCAGTGTAGAGTAACAAAACATCGTAACACAATCTAGAGTGACTGTGTTATGGTGAGATTTAATATGATCTGCACGCACCTTTTTACCTGTTGTTTATGGCTTTTTAGTAAGTAATATTCTTTCACTTATATTCTCAAATTATCTTTACATGTCGATTTCGATAATATTTAATTTAAAATACTTCATTTGTATTATAAAATTTTTTAAATTCTTTCGTATATCAATACATGCTATTTATTCAACATTAGCAACAGTTTATTCCTGTTACATTATTATTAACTCTATATATGTTAGCTCATATAAACTAATCAGATGCTTTTATATAGGTACAAAACCTTTATTATTCAGTAGAAATTGAACAAATAATTCTTTTAAATAATTCGTGTGTGCATGTGTATTTGTATGTATACATGGATGTGTGTACATATACACGTGGGTGTATTTTTATCCATAAAGGAATGTGTGGGTAATAATGGAAATACACACATTCATTTTAATTTATTGAGATGGATGTTGCTAAAATTCAAAATACCATCCCGGAAAAAATATTTCAGATATTATTAGACACAATTAGATATAATTATATCTATTTCGATATAACTAGACCTAAATAGATATTATTAGACATAATTAAAAATACAAAAATATATAACTTCAGATCAAACACGATAAATTTTGATTTTGTTAGACCTTGATATATTTACATAGATATTATAAGATAAGCTTAGATATTTCAAAACTAACTCATATATTTAGAAATATAAAATGTCAGATATAATAATAGAAGTTTTGATCTTTTTAGATATATTTATACTTTAATGAATATAATTTGATCGATTTAGATATTATTAGACTAATTCTCACATTCGAGAATATAATGTCAAGTACAGCGAGATAAGTTTTTATATATTTAGATCTAATTATATCTCAATAGATATAATTAATCGATGTAGATTCGAATGTATTGCATCTCGGTAGATGTACAACATGATCAGATTAAATCTTGTCAACATAACAGGATTGAAGTTCTGCACGAAGAAAAATGCAAAATAAAAATTGTAGTCTAGCACTATAAAGTGGAAGCACTTTGTCAGTTAGGTAATTTTTTAAAAGACTTATAGAAAAATTATCAGTTTCACGAGGAAAATTGTAGTTTAGCTAATAATTTTTAATGTTTAGCACGGTAATTTTTTGGACAACGAATAATTGATAGAATTTTGAAGAAAAATTAGAGGATACAACATACATTTTATTTGCTGTCCTAGAATTTTTCTATTGCACTGAAAAACGATCGCATTCGACTCTGGGGACCCCAAAACGTGAAGATATGTCAAAATTCGGGATTCGCAAAATCGGACCCATTACTATAACTTCCCACTGGGAAGTTAATAATGTAAATAAAATTCATTGTTGGCAAAATAATTTTTGTATTTAAATTAAATAAAAATTAGAGATCAGGTTAGTAAAATTTACCGTGCCAGCACAGTAATTTTTCTATTGCTGACTGATGGATTATATAAGATTGACATCTCGCGTCCAGTTTACCGTGTCGCATGGTAATTCTTCTTGGAGTTTCCAATATTTTCTATTGGAATTTTTTTGCCGTGTATAAATACGCTCTTAATCTTTTAATATTGTAAGTTTCTAGGCTACACTATGATTGTTCAAATCAATTTCTAAAAGATAATGCTTCATAAGAAAAAAGGCAATCGAGGAAATTAGTGTCTTTGAATTAGAACTGTAAAAAATTACATAACTTTATTTTCGGAATCACAATAATTTATTCTCTTCCATTACACGTATTTACATGACTTTATTCAATTTATTGGGTCGCTTACAAATATATTCAAAAATTCTAATTACATGAGATATACATATAATGTCCTTTTTTCTAATATGTAAATATTGTATTTTCTCTGTAAATGATAAAATATGTGATACAACTGTATCAGTTTCATTATGACGGAACATTTCATGAGGTTCAATGTTAAATGGTTTAAGTATTACACTTAGTTCATTATGAATATTAATAAAAATTTGAATGGTTCCGTATATTAATTTATTATTAGCATTAATTTCAATAGCATAGCTATTACTCATAGTTGCACATAAAATCCAATAAGCATGAAATGCTCCACCCTAAAGTCGTAAAAACTGTTACAGGTAATCAATTAATTATATTTTTTTCATTTATTCTAATCATGATTAAATAATAAATTATTTGCTGGTTAACTGGGTTGATTATTCATACTTGATTTCAGTATTCATTCCTTTTTTCATGCAGATACATATTACATTGTTTATATAGTTTCTTTCTAATTTTCTTTATAGATCGTATGGAAAAAATGGCGAAATCAAAAGGATGGAAGATCCCGAATCAAAAAGAGATCGACATAGTCATGACTGTGAAGCTAAACGAAATTAAAAAAAAAATCCAAGGTCAGCGACCACAAATTAAACCTTTAGGTAGAACATTTTATATTCAATATTCATATTATTAAGAATGATACCAAATACCAAACCATACCAAATAAAATGAACATTGTTTTTTCTGATTCTAATGTGATGTTAAAAATTTAAATAGATCTTTTTATGTCTACATAAAATCAAAATATAATTTATTGAATCTACTTAGATGTAATTTTACATACTTAGATATAATTATTTATTAACTTCCCAGTGGGAAGTTATAGTAATGGGTCCGATTTTGCGAATCGCTAATTTTGACATATCTCCACGTTTTAAGGTCCCGCGAATCCAATACAACCGTTTTCCAGTGGACGTCTGTGTGTGTGTATGTACGTATGTGCGTATGTGCATATGTGCGTACGTACGTTCGGAATTATTTTTCGCCTCGATTATCTCGAAAACGAATAATGATATCGATGTGGGAGCAATTTCATTCGACGCGTAATTACGTAACTTAGAACTGAAAAAGTTTTCAGGAAAATCGGTAGAGCCATTTTTTTGGCAGAATCAAAAAACTGGAAAAAAAGGAAATTACCTGAATTTTGCAATTCATAAATTATACGATTTTTTAGACAAAATTTCTAGATCATTGCAGAAATATGAATATTTGATGATTGGAATACTTGTATGGAAATATAATGACAATATTTCATCGAAAAAAAAATTTTTAAAACACAAAATCAGCCATGAAAGAATTTTAAACTCGTGTCAGGATTGAGAAAATAGCATTAAAGACGCTACAATAGTCAATAATAATTGTTAATCGTATGAAATTGTGTCTTTAACAATTGAGCATTGTTAATAACAGATGATTATTGATCATGATGATAATTAAATAAAAAATTTTATATTGTTATAAAAAAAAAAAAATAGGTATCCATGCTATACATTTGAGTACTTCCAACGCGTAATGACATGAATGGAAACATACTTTATTCTTTTATAACAATGAAATTTGTTGTAAATAATGATAAAAAGGATCTATGAGGTATATTTGAATTCTTCTAACGCACGATTTTTTCTTTTACTGAAATGAAGTAACTAACCGCATCAAATGAATAAAAACACACTCATTCCGTTCATAACACTTCCATTTGTTATAAAAAATGGAAACGGGTTTCATCCGAGGTGTTTTTTTATTTTTTCGACTGGCAAGTTGGTCGTGTGGACCTTTCGGGTCGCACCCAGAGCGCTGCAGAGCACTGATATTTTTTAGATATCTTTAGATCAAAATTTATCTTTATCTATCAGTCTCACAATACAGATACAATTAGATCAAATTAGATCTAAAATTTTAGATATCTAGAGTAGCGGTAGATACATTCGATACCTGTAAAAAAAACGATATTTTCAAATTGTTCTACATACAAAAAATGTTTGAAATAATAAAATTGCGCCAAGTTTGACTTGCCATAATCGCAAAACCATAAAATTGTTTTTATCAGTTGTTTAATAAAAACATCACGAAAGTGTGAGTAAGAAATTGTAGATCGAATGTCTGATCAAAATATCAGAAAACATTTGATAGCATAAATCTTATTCAGAATTCTTCTTCAAGTGTTTAAAGTATCCTACTAAAGCTGCTATCATCGGACGGAAGAAAAATTTGCGCCATGTACACGTCCCAAATGACTCTGCAAATAACCAAATTCTCGTTCTTGAATAATTATTTCAAAAAATTTTGAAACACCAAAAAAATTTGAAATTAATAGGAGTGCTATGTCATCTATAAAATTGAGTCTTTTTTTTCGTTACTTTCGATGAATTGTGTGAGAAAATACTTTTTCGAATTTTCTTGAAATAATTTAAAGGGTAATTTTGTAGATAAAAATTTACGATAAATTTTTTTTGCAATCAATTTTTACTTAATCTGAAAAAGTAGCTAGTTAAAAAAAATGTCATAACACGTAGCCCAATTTTTTTAATGTTCTCTATTGATAGAAGATTTCCGAATATAATTCTGAAATCTAGTGTCCATCGGAAGGGAAATTTTTTATACAACACAAGCATGATAAACGTAACTTATCACGCTTGTAAAGCGAGATCTAAGTAATCTACTTAAATCCCTAGTAACTGAAGTACTCAATAACGCAATTATGATCAATTCCAGGTACAACACCAATCTTTTTCTGACGTGTTTAGAAAAAATAATGACAGATTAAGAAAATTTTTGAACAATTCTATGCGGTTATGTAATTTTGTTTGTTAACTGTACAGGAGTACTTTACCTTGTGTCGCTAATGAGGTACTTAGATCCATCTCTTTGGCTAGAATAATTGGCCTCGCCCCCATATACAAGATTTAAGAAAGTACAAATTTCTTTTCCTCAAATAAATGATTTTATCTATAAAGTTGGTACCACTGTAAGGTTGCTATAGTACTTGAAAAAAATTAAGTTGGTAAACAAAATGTGCATATTATTGAGGCACCAATCATAAACAAATTAATTATCAAGATGTGATAATATTGACAATGATAAATAATAATATATCCTTATGAATAAAAATTAATTCATAATAAATAAAGAGAACAGTATGATCTAGATAATGATATAATGGAAATCAATGATAAATTATCCGATAACATGATAAATATATGGAAATGATATCAGTTTTTAATTATTTATATATCATCAATGGCTTTTTTATTAACAAATGTTCATGTCTCGCGAACGGTAAGAGATAGAGCAAAAATGATGAAATGGTGAGGCAGCTTCTCTACGGGGGATCGTACTTCTTATTGTCAACCCCATGGCACATCCATATTTAACTAATTGCTAATGATTAGCAATTTAAAAAACAATTTACTTTTTTAGTCATGAGTACGGGCTTATTCATTCTTGGGGGTGTATCTACACCCTATTATTCCGAAGCGGTAACTGTGCCAGAACTATAGTACTCTAACGATTGTACTATATAACTTTTGTGCCAAACTTTAAGTTTACGAATGGTAAATGCACTATACAGTACCACATATGTATAATACACTAATACTATGATTACACGCAGTCTATCATCGAAGTTAGGATCCGTAACATCGATATTATCATCGATGTTAGTGCGCGTAAACAGCCTAACTATAGTTAATGACACATGTGTGAGATTAAATACTGAAATAGTGAATTAAAATATAAAATAGCAATTGTTTTTTATTGTAATAACGAATCGAAGTGAATAAAGAAATTAAAATAATAAGTGAAATTATGAATAAAAGGTAATAATGTAGATAAGATAAATGTAAAAAATTATTTTTCATTTATTTACGTCGGAGAAAATTATTCTTAGGTACTATTTGGATTAATGAAAAAAAAATTATTACATTTTTCTTACCGTCATAATTAATTTTTATTTATTATTACAATAAACAATGATTATCATTTACATCCCAATTCTCTATTCCAGTCTTTTATCTTACACATGAACTATAGTAATGGAATTGAGTATCATCAATGTAAGCGCAGGCCTACCATCGAGGTTGCGCGTAAACAGCTTGACAAACTAACGTCAATACCGATGTTTAGTGTGCGCGTAATCATCGCAAAAGAGTTTCGAAACTTTGACGTATACATTTTGTCGTACAGTACGGGACATAAATGCTGCGTGATTTTGTATAGGAGTATATAGGAAAATCATATGTATACCTTCAAGACATTGAACAGCATTGATGTCCGGTAGTTTACAAAAAAACGTGAAATCATACCAAAATCAGCCCTACAGACTGTAGAAAACTGTGCGCCAAGTTTAAATGACGAGGAAGATAATCTATGTTCTTAAAATGTTTCTATCGTAAATGTACATTATTTAAAACATCACAAAGAAAGCGTGAAATCATTAAACGCCAAGTATTGCATTTCGAATAATAGTCACATTTGTCAAAGTTAAATAGATTGATTGTATTTGAAATAGTTTTTAATTATATACAAGATTCAACAATCATTTTTGAATCCTAAGTCAATGGATCCATTGAGTGATGAGTAGCAGTTTCACTGTTTTATAGAAAAAAATTGTCATATATGTGAGAAGCGTATTGAACCTTTTCAATCGAGAGTTCGCGATCACTGTCAATTAACAGGAAAATTTCGTGGTCCTGTTCATCATGAGTGTAATTTGAATTTTCAAATAGAACCCATAATTCCAATTGTTTTTTATAATTTATCGAGATACGATTCATATTTTTCTATCGTATCATTATCATCATCAGATTTTCCCGGTGCTATAACTATCATTTTTATTAATAAATGAAAATATATATCATTTACCAAAGTAGTTGAAATCGATAAATATAGAAATTCAAAAAGATCAAATGATGACAATGAGGTAAAAAAGAAGGAAAATTTGAACATACAGCCGCGTTTCATAGATTCATTCCGTTTCATGAGTTCTAGTATCGATAAATTACCTAAATTTTGATGTAATAATGATAAAATAATGATGCGTAGGAGTTTCTCCGATGAAGAATCATTTAAATTAGCAATATGTAGAGGTGTATTTCTACATGAATATTGTAGTAATTGGGGAAAACTTGAAGAAAAGCAATTATCTGATAAAATTTTTTTTTCTTCTTTAAATGATTTAAATATACCCGATTATGAGTGTGCACTTGAAGTATGGTCTCACGTCAATATTAAAACATTAGGTGATTATTATAATTTATGATATAGATATAATCTCAATGACTAAAGCTATACATAGATTTAAATACAGATAAAAGAAAAGAGGCAAGAAATAATTTTGAATAAAATTTTTTCAAGTTAATGAATAATGCTGTTTTCGGAAATACTATGGAAAATGTCAGAAAACATGAATATTGTCAAACTTGTTGCAGAATGGAAAAAAGGCTATGGAGCCAATTATCACATATCTGAACCGAATTATCATTCGTGTGTAATTTTTAATGACAATTTTGTTGCGATAGAATATTTAAGAGAATAAATTTAATTTTCAATAAGCCTATATATATTAGATTCTGTACTCATGATGTTTCAAAAATTTATATTTATGATTTTCATTATAATATGTACTTCAAAAATATTCTCTTGAACCAGCTAAATTAATGCATGCTGATACTGATAGTTTAATCTATCATTTCAAAAATCCTCATATCTACAATCATATTAAACAGGTGATTGATGAATTCGATACTTCAAAGTATAAGAGAGATAATATAAAGGGTATACCTTTGGCAAATAAAAAAGTTGTTAGATTAATGAAAGATGAAAATAATGGTAAAATTATGACACATTTCATTAGTTTTAGAGCTAAAATGTATGCATTTAAGGTAATAAATGATAAAGATGAAATAAAAGCTAAAAAATTAGAAGTAGTGAGAGATAAAGTAAAAGCTAAAGGAGTAAAGTTATCTGTGATGAAAACGATTACATTTGATCATTATAAAGAATGTTTATTTAATGACAAAAAATATCTCAAATTTAGCATCATATAGCTAGTGTAAAACATAAAGTAAGTACAATTTCTCGAATAAAAATAGCTTTAAGCGCAGAAGATGATAAGCGAATGGTGCAAGAAGGGAAAACTGATACATTTCCATGGGGTATAAGAATGATAATATTGCAATCACATTGAAAACATGGGGAAATAGGGAAAATTGGGGACAGCCTCTCTGTCTTTCCCTCCTGCTGCCTTTTCTTCTTCTTTTTCATTTTGTACTTTCGTATTTTCTATCATTTTATGCTTTAAATTATTTATAGGGATTAGTCTTTTCATAGCTTTTAATATTGCTTCAACTCCTTTGGTTTGATTGATCCCTTTACGTTTCTTTTTGTTTTTGTTATCGTTATAAATAGAAAAAATATCCATCTTCTGACGATTGAATTCTCTCTTTTTCGAGGCGGCATATTAACTTTCACTCATTGATATATTTACATTATCATTGCTCAATAATAATATTTTAGGAGAAACTTTTTTTACTTTTAAGTCGATGCCATGGTATTACTACTGGTTCAACGAATTCATTTAATGAACATTCACTGTTATTTTTTCCACGCTTAACCTATTAATGCCAAAGATTGTCAATTTCATGTCTTGTCTTTGAGCTTAAATCTTATACATGTAACTAAGTAGTAAAGTCATAAAAAAATGATTTTCCGTGGTTTCCGCTTTACTGAGTCGAATCCCGAAGTCAAAATTTAGAAATTTTGACCACACAATTAAATATGGCGGCTTTTGTACAGGAAAATGACAAAAAATTTCTCGATTTCAAAAATCATGATTTTTTTTAGGCATGTAACGGACGATAATTAAAAATTTCCGTCAACCATCGGTGCATAAAATTATTTGGGTTTGAGAAAAAATGTTGATATTTACATGTTATTGACTATTTTTTTTTAAATATGGCGGCTAAGACGCAATAAACTCCGAAAAATATACATTCTTTGCGATTATTTTTTTTTTGTCTTATCATTCTTAGTTTACGATAAGTTCATATAGCGTAAATTGACTTTCCCAACAATTTCCAATGAAATCTCAAATTTTAAAAATGGCGTATTTAATATGGCAACTGAGAAACAGAGTAAATTTACTGTTTTTCTTAATTTTCAGAAAATTCTCGTACTTGTATGGATGTAAAGCATATCTTCTATAATTTAAAATAAATCTAAACCGATGGCGGCTCTAAAAAGGCTACGAATTGGCCATTCCAACGATTTTATAAGCATTTGCTAAATTACGTAGGCATTTAATAAATATATAGCGCATTTCTCACAATTTCTGAAAAATAAAATTCAATGAATAGTAATAGAAAAAATTGGTTTTTACAATTGTTGAGGAAAGTTACCTATACAATCACTATTCTCAGATAATTTCAAATCTTATGGTCTGAACTCCATCTCGATAATGACTGAGTGTGTAGATTTAAATATCAGCACTATAGTTTTAATTGAGTTGAATAATGACTGGTAAGAGAGAAGCATCTACAAGGAGCGGGAATACTAAAAAAAATCATCAATAATTTACCCGTTAAATTACATATCAAAACAATTAAAAAAAAAAATTGATAAAATTACCAAATCGAGCACTTTCTTATTTTGATTCGTTACAGTATACAGAAAAATTGAAAATACCATTGTTGAGGAGTAATCAATTCTTAAGTTTGAATTATCAGCTAATAGGAACTTCGGCGGCCATCTTGTTACTAGGTCGATAACCAATCGACCAAATAATCAATATTTCTTAATCTAGTCACTCATTTGTCTAATTTTCAGTCTCCATCTTGACCAAGGAAATCCTTTTCGCCATTCTTTTTCTGTTCTCGTTCATGTGTACACGACATTCCAATTCCGTTCGCTAAAATCTTTTGTGTGTCAATTATTAGTTGTAGTATATTTCTGAACGTACAAGATCATTCATATTCTTATTCTATAACCGAATGAAGTAGTATTTTTAGACAATTCACGGTAAATCTATTTAAATAAATCAAATTCACATTGAATTGCTCGATTCCGGCACAATCTTCCCTATCCTTAAACGGTTAGGCTAATTCAAAAGTTGACTTTTGTCAACAACCATATTTTCGGAATGTTTTTATGAGAAATAATTTACCACCATCGGAACCTTAGAAAAATGAATCAGCAATTGTCAATTTAGATAATAAAGATAGATTTGGAACTCATTGGGTGGCGTATAAAAAAAAGGCAAAAAAGTTGTAATCTTTGATAGTTCTGGTGATTTGCAACCACCCAGAGAACTTGTAAATTATTTTAATGTTAATCATATATTATATGATTATAAAAGAAATCAAGATCATAATACAACTAACTGTGGACGTTTATGTTTAGAATTTTCTAAATTGCTAGCTATGAATCTGACGGATGAAAAAATTTTTATTTTATTTGCATTCAAAGTATTATAGGGCAAACATTATGGCTGATTCTTTGATATGAACACTTACTGGAAATTGATCATTATTGGTGGTTCCGAATTTTTCTCCAATTGAATTATAACCTACAAAAAATTACGCACTTACGTAGAGGAAATTTTATGGAAAGAGGACTGTTCATTGTAATAGATTGTTCAAGACAAAATTTTTTTTAAAAAAGTCTTACATATATTTTAGGATAAGAGGTTTCCTTGTCATAGAAATAATTCAAAAGCATACATATCATTAATCTTAGAGTTAATTCAAAAGTGAAAAAGAAATGATATACAATATTTGAGATATTTTTCAATACATATTTATGAAACATTAGCATATACATTTTTCAAAAGCATATTCATTGAATATTTCCGAAATGAAATTGATTAAAAGCGTAAACCTCCTTCTTAGGACAATGAGTAATTCTAGGAGTTGATTCACCCCTACGAACGTCTAATTCATCATGCTGAAGACAATCTAATGTTTCCATTATTTCAAATAAGTCCAGACGTTGTTCCTGCAATTGATTATATTGTAAAATGTGTGAATGTCTCCATCTATGGATTGATTGATTAACGACAATCAGTTATTTAACGACGATTGCTTGACGATTAGATTGTTTATAGCAACGAGGGGAAAGTTAGTTTATCTCCAGTTTTGGACTAAGACTAGCTAACATTAAATGACTTGTCTTCGATTCTGCATTTTAATCTGTCACTTTTAATAAACTAACTTTTAATATTAGTTGTTCTCATTCTTTTATTTTGCATTTTGTGTCAGAAGTGATTTTTCTTACGTGTCAAGATATTTTATTTGTGTATGTGATATTATTGAAATTTTGAAAAATGCCAAGAACACCTAACAGTCAAATAAGGAGAGAAACAAAGAGAACTCGTTCTGATGATTGTGTTGAGGAGGAAAATTCGTCAAATGGTGGATTGTTGGCTTTGGAGATGCGGATCAACAGATTAGAGAAACAGTTTTCGCAAACAAAATTAGAGATGAATGGGATGCTACAAAATTTATTGAGAGAGATAAAATTGTTGATTAATAGTAATTATTCTATTGATATGGTTTTACTTCCAAAAATTAAAAAATGAGTTTCTGCTCAAAATCAAGAAAATTTTAGTAGAAGAAATTCTAATATTAATTTAAATTTTTCTAAAAAATTTAAATGTTGGTTGTGTGGTGAAATTAGCCACAGAAAACAAGAGTGTGAATTTCCTTGCAAAAAATAATTTACGGAAAATTAATTCATAACCTTTTTCAGATAATTTTAGAAATCATATTAAGTAGTTTCTATTTTTATTTTAAAAATCTATTAATTAGTATTTTGCTCGAAAAAATCGAAGTAAATGTCGAATGGTCATTTGTTTATAGCAACGAGGGGAAAATTTGTTTATCTCCAGTTTTGGACTGAGACTAGCTAACATTAGACGTCTTGTCTTTGATTCTGTAGTGCTGAAAATAAAGATATTTTATTTTTTATAAAACCTGACTCCCATTTGCTCTGTTCCGGCACAATGATCCCTATCCTTAAACGGTCAGGTTAATTCACAAGTTGAGATTTTCTCAACATTTTATTGGTCCTTCGAGCCGGATCAGAGCTCTCGGTTTGAATTGTTTAATTTTTGGTGCTATCAGTGTACCTTCCTCTGACAATCAAGTGTGTGAGTGTTCAAAATGGCCAATCAACCCAAGAAGAGTGAGGACCAAAAGTCCTCTAAAACTCAACCAAAAATCACATTCAGCCTTGACGACAGTCA